CACACTTGTACCCGTGCTACGAGGTCGGGCCAAATCGTCATCCATCAAGGGGTAATATGGTTGACCTACCACGAGGAGACACATGGTGAGCACGAACCATTTGAGGACACCTCGACACCACGTGGTATAGGACCGAGATGTCCTGAACCGATCAGTTTGGTTTGAATCTCGATTTGTGAGAGGCCAGTAAGGTCTCTGCTCGACTAGGCGGAGTACACCACCTTGGGAAGACAAGCCAAGGACCTCGTAGGCTGGTGTGATCTCCCCAACTTTGGCTGATGTAAACTTAAGTAATAAGTATGACTTATGGGGTATCAACCTGTTGACCTATGTGGCAGAACGACACAACTTGTCAGTTTCGAGCTAGGTAGCGACACAATGCCTACCTAGCACACGTATCTCCGATTCCTGCATGAGTCAGGGAATTCGGGCATGGATCACCACCAATGTGGAAGAAACGTGCTTCGTGGGTATCGGGCTGATAAGGCCAACCATACCTAATTATCTCGGACATGGAGCTCAGACCCTGACGCCTATAAAAGGATCTCACTATTCCACCAAAAGATGCATGCATATTGTACAAATTACTAACTTCTTGCTCTGAAGCTCTCTACTCTCAACTTTTTTGTCGTTGACTAAAGCATTTGAGTACCTAGCCTGGAATCAACACTCCGAATACTAGGAATGGCAACGGGGCGGGTTTGCTATCCCTACCAGATACCCTAATCCTTCTTTTCTTACAGCTTTGTGTACCGACCTCATCAGTTCGTCCGTCTAAACTATTCTCCAGCATGGAGATTGACTGATTCCCACTTCAACAAGAAAGAGGAAAACAAAGTTTTAGGTTCCTGCTACAACAAGAAAGAGGAAGACTCAGTTTTAGGTAAAATGAGAGGTAATGGGACAAGCTCGTCCCATTATGTCCGCACGAGGTTGAGGGCGCATGCATGTGGGAGGACACACAACCACTTTTAACGGTGTGGGACGTTTTGGGGGCACAATCAGCAAGCCGGTGGAGGGCAGAACCGAACTCAAACTTTGTAGGTCATGTATCAATATAGTCAATCAACCATCATCTAACTACCCCAAACGTTGGTGGGGATGGGATTAGATATCGGATATACATATTGGTGGGTATATATTTTGAGAAATAGGCTGTAAGCGTAATATGGTAATCCACAATGCACCATGCATTCATGGTGGAGAGTATGGATTTCCATTTCCTACTGAAACTTGAGAAGTAGAGCACAACTTAGGTTAAAGGTTTAAAATTTCGATATGATATTGGGCATATCATATCGTATCTTTTAAGTACAAATATGAGATACACATGAAAATTGGACGTTTCGTCATTTTTTCATGCGTATCAGACCCGTATCGGGGCGTATCGAGGGTGTATTGGTAGCATATTAATGAAAAAGATACAGCCAAAAACTGAAAAAAAAAATAAAGGGGAAAACCAAACTTTTTTTCCCTGAAATAAGCCTTATTTCACCCCCCCCCCAAATGACTCTAAAACTCCATACATCATTCTTAGAGTGCTAGATTTTCAAAATTTGCAAGAAACAAGTGTGAATCGTTATTTTTTTTTAGATTTTGAAAAAAAATGACAAAATTAGGTAAGTTTTTCAATTTTTTATACTATCTTGTGATATCTTTTTTTCTTGAATTTTTAAACTTATGTTGGTCTACATTTCTTACATTTAAAATTATAATTTTTTTTGTGTTATTAATAAATCTAAGGAAATTTCATGAAGATAATTGGGGAAAATATAAATTAATAAAAAATATGAAAATGTAATTTTTCTGAGCCTATAAAGACTAAATACATTTTAGATCTATGGGTTTATCTATCACAATGATTGAATATATTATAATTCTAGGGATGATCTATCATATCTACAAAGCAATTGAAATTTCTTCTTTATTAACTATTTTTTGAATATACTATATAATATTTATTTAGAAATAAATAATAAATAATTATTGATTATATTTTCACTTAGAAGTTGTGCCAATGTATGTTTCATGGTTGAATAGGAGAGTTGGATTTTTCCCATCCCATAAAACATTAAAACTTAAGAATTATAATTTATAAATTATAGTTAAGCATAGGATTTTTAATGAAACTATAATTAACTAAAATATATATTTTCATAAATCATTGAAATATATTAATTTAATGTATATATACCTCATTGAGATCTTATATTTAGTATTATTAATGTATTTTTATAATTTATTAAAGTATTTATAATGTTTCCAAACATATCTATATGTATCTTAATTTTTCTCCATTACAGATGCATCTCTAAGATGTATCTTGATACATCTCTTAAAATTACCTTTCTGATGTACTTAATATTTTGGATGCTTTGAACCTTAGTTAGATTATCTAAAACGTGGTTGGATGAGACAACACCTACGTGCCATTTTCATAATCAAACGTGGTTGTACCTGTGTCAACCCAAAAAATATCTCAGCTTCAGCACCATGTTTTGTTATGATTGGCCCCTTTCCCTGTGGTTTGAGGGAGGGCTCAGGTTCTAAAGCCAAAATATCTAATAATTAATTTGATAAGGATAAACATGAACGAACACGCTCCAATCTCAAGAAGACGCTCAGAAATGAGAAGTCTGAATACTGAAATACCGTACCTGGTGAAGAGCTTTGTCGCTGACACCGTGTTACCCTTGCTTTTTCGTATTTCGACTTAAACTTATCCTATGGCCCATAGGATGATAGGAATATGAAGAAGCCAAACGGCTTTCCAGTTCACTGAATGCAAAATCCAACGCAAAAGTCATCGGCATGAGACCGGATATGCTCCTCACACCGATCTCACCGTACATCCACCATGTATTGAGAATATCTCCCGTATTTATGTGTCGAAAAATATTCTCGATGTACACTGGAATGTGTCTGTGAGGCGTCTTGTATGAGGATTGAGGAGCATATCCCAATTCTACTTGGCATCGTTCGTGGTTGCCTCTCGAAGGTGTGAACTGAATTTGACTCTTAAACCGAGGCCAAACTCAGAAGTCTGAATGCAGAGAGTGGTGGGATTGGATCAAATATCAAAGCAGAAATATATCTATGAGCCGGATATCCACGGGAGGGCTCGTTCACTCGTTCAGTGCATATTGAAAAAGGACAGAGCAGGGGCATTGCAATAGTGGTTTCGAGACGTTACTTTAGACCCATAGGCAAATTGCGTTGCATAATGGGCCCAAATTAAAGTCTCGAAACCCCCTGAAGCGGATGGGTGGGGGTGGTGACACACTACACTTTATTGTCCCCTCTGTTTTCCATTTAAAAACTTGTTCCCATTGCCCACAGGAAATTAGGAACGGGTTCCAGCTTTAGATATCATTTATTGGTGCTTGGATGAATAGAGATGAAGCACTTTATTATTGTCCAATCACTAATTGCTAATTGTTTGATGCTAAACCCAAACCCATCCCTATTCAGTGCTTCATCACATCTCATCTCTCATCTGTGCCAACCACATGCTTGCTTGCAACTTGGGTCATATAGCCATGAGTACGGTACATAGTACACGCCTTAGATAATAATAAGAAACAAATGGCAAATGGTTGGGAGAAACAATTTCTAGGCTCAAAGTACTGTTGAGGTAAGTGTCAGTTCGAAATTGATGAGTGTGAGTTATTGTTATTTTGAATGTTTATAACTCTGGAGTGGAAATTAGAAATTTGCATTGGGTTTGTCTATGCTTTTTTGCAAATGGCTTTATTATTTCACATACCTCTTCCGCATTTATTCTCTTGAAAAAACATCTAATTATTGAAGATTTTCATCATTGCCCAAAGCGCTTATTAAAAATCTCAAAATACAGGTTTCTTGATTTATTAAATATGTGTTTAGTTCCGTTTATGTTTATTGAATAAATGTTTATACTTTATTTGTTAGTAAAATCAAAAAATGCAATAATTATAATCGTTTATGACAATTAGACGTCACTTCARCGTAACAGTGAATAAACGCTTGACCGTTTGTGAAAGTTTCAAAAAATAGCTTCTACAAAAGACTGACATGCACATAAACCAAAATTCATATTTTACATTTTAGATATATGCAAAAGAGTAATTGAGAGAAAATGCTGAGATGGTGCAACACCATCAATAAACACAAACGATACGAAACACCCTGCAAAAGAAACCTCAAAACACGGATTTCTTCAAAATGAGCTTACTCTATTGAAAAAAGCACTTATTAGAGCTTTTTTACGAAATGCCTACAAGTGATTTTTTTATATTCTTTTGAAATCTTTTAAGCGCTTATAAAAATCACTCCCAAACAGGGGCTTAACAGTAATCTCTTCATAATTTCGTTTAGTAGAGTTATTAAAAAAACGAAAATTAGAATTAAGAATGGAACAAAGTGACACTGTGACAATGACTCAACTTTTGTCGCTCACGGTCACGGGGCTTGCCGTGCGTCGCGCAAAAGACAAAAATTGCACCACTTTTTCCCTCGTTTCAGGCACGGCACGACACCAACAGTGATTCCCGCCGAAATTCAAAACTTAATAAGAAAATAAAAATATGGCCCCTAAGTTTCTCTCTCTCTAGTCTCTGTGTTCTCTACTTGCAACTTTTATTCCTTCTTTCCTCGCTAAACGGTTGAACGGATTTGGTCCTCACAGTCACAGAACCGTGCTCCCTACAATGCAATGTGCATTGGAAATATCTCAGTAATTATATGTTTTTTATATTTTTGTTTTTCTATATATGTTTTTATTTATGGATAGATATTCTCAATCCGAGTCTTTGATATTTTATAATCTTCCAAAAGAAGCTCCTTCAAAAGACACTTTTAACCCTCTCATACACACAATGGGCATTTTGTCATTTGGCACATAGAAAAACCTTGTAAATTGACTATTACACCCTCCATATACTTTCCACCGCAAGCTTCCTTGAACTCCGCGCTCAGCAGTGATCTGTTACTAGATAAGTAGACCCCCCCCCCTCTCTCTTCCCTTTATAAAAAAGGAAACACGAAGGGCGAACCCTTGAGTTCAGTCCTTCCATAGTTCCATCTACTAGTCTCGCTCTCGCCTCCTACAACTCTTTTCCTCAGCTAAACATTTCATCTCCCCTACGCCCTTCTCCTTCAAATCTAACTCTTCTTATCGACAATGCAGTCCATCTCCGAAGAACCTCTTCTCGCCCCAAATCCAGATAGATTCTGTATGTTCCCAATTCAATACCCTGAAATCTGGGAAATGTACAAGAAGGCCGAGGCCTCTTTCTGGACCGCCGAAGAAGTTGACCTCTCCCAAGATCTACGTGACTGGGAAAATCTAACTCACGGCGAGAAACACTTCATTACTCTTGTTCTCGCCTTCTTCGCTGCTTCTGATGGTATTGTTATCGAAAACCTGGCCTCTCGTTTCATGAAAGAAGTTCAAAATTCCGAGGCTCGTGCCTTCTACGGTTTCCAAATAGCAATCGAGAACATCCATTCGGAGATGTACAGCCTCTTGTTAGAATCCTACATCAAGGATGCAGCCGAGAAAAACCGTCTGTTTCACGCAATTGAGACTATCCCTTGCGTGGAAAAGAAAGCTCAGTGGACACTTCGTTGGATTACCAGTTCGGAATCTTTCGCCGAACGTCTAGTCGCCTTCGCCTGCGTCGAGGGGATATTCTTCTCTGGCAGCTTTTGCGCGATATTCTGGTTGAAGAAACGCGGGTTGATGCCGGGGTTAACATTTTCAAACGAGTTGATATCAAGAGACGAGGGGTTGCACTGCGATTTCGCTTGCCTGCTATACGAGTTTTTGAAGCAGAAGCTGAGTGAAGAGCGAGTGAAAGGAATCGTTGCGGAAGCGGTGGAAATCGAGAGGGAGTTCGTATGCGACGCATTACCATGTGCGTTAGTGGGAATGAACGCTGATCTGATGAGTCAGTACATCGAGTTCGTGGCCGATAGGTTGCTTGGAGCCTTGGGATACGGAAAGATATACAATGTTCAGAACCCTTTTGATTGGATGGAGTTGATTTCTTTACAAGGGAAGACCAATTTCTTTGAGAAACGGGTTGGCGACTATCAGAAAGCTTCGGTCATGTCGAGTTTGAATGGCGAAGGTGGGAGCCATGCGTTCAAACTGGATGAAGATTTCTGATGGGTGGAGGGGGACTTCGACTTCACTCACGAAAACCACCAAGTTCTACTACTGAAATACATCGGCGGAAAATGGGGGACTTCGACCCACGGCATGGAGTTCGTGGCTATTTAAATTTTAATTTAATTAGGCCATGCCCTTCAAAATTTCTTTGCCTTGCTTTGTTTTACCGGTTTAGCTTTATAAAGATAATTTTAGATTAGATGTGTTGTTGACATAGACATAGTTGTGATTATTGGGTTCCACTATGTTTCAGTCCTCACAAAAAGGTGCTCCGTGCTTGTACCATTCTCACATCCAATTAAAACCGTGCATTAGAAATATCTTAAAATGTTTATCTATTTTATTTAGAGATATTCTCAATCCACAGCTGCAAAATGGCTGTAAATACTGTATGAGCACCGTTTTCTGTGTATGAATCCCATCTCCGATAATCCAGCGCAGGTGGCCATATCATTTATTGAAGTGATGAGGTGACAGAGAGGTGGTAGCGTGGTCGTGGTGTAGCATCGTAATCTCGTGCCTCGTGGTCATAGAACATGTGCTCGCTAGTCACTATTACCCCCAGCTCTAGCAGCCACCACAATTTGGCCTCGGGAACACACTCTTTGACCCCAAACCCAAATGTGTCCCAACCGATTATCAGACCATTTCTTTCTTTTTCTTATAATTTCCAAAATCAGTTTGTCCACTTGGAGTAGGAGTGGCGCTTAAATGAGGTTGACGTTTAAGTTTTAACGCAACCATAACGATACATAGGCTGCGATTTCATGATTTTAGTCCCAGCAGCAGCAGCGCTACTCTGGACTCTGGAGTGGCTGATTTCTTCACATTTCTTTGTTGCTCTCTATTCCCAATATCCATTAACTCTATCTATTGATGGGTTTCCAAATACTCAAAACCACATGCTGATCTTGATTTCTTTTTATAATGCATGCAACCTTTTATTAGCCGACGTAAGGCATTGATTGGTACTTTGGGTCCATTGCTATTGCTATTGGTCCTTAAATTTTAAAACACATAATTCAGTATCCAAATTTTTAAAACGTATTAAATAACTTTAGAAAAATTTATAAATACTTTTCAATTGTCATATAATTTTTATTATCAATTATCTAAATATTGATAAAAAAATTAACCATCTTAAATTCTTGTCTTTTTTATTCAAGAAAATTAGAGTTCATAATGTTCATTGAGACGTGACCCTAATTTTCTTGAATAAAGGAAGCAAGGATTTGAGGTTGTTAATTTTTTTATCAATGTTTGGATGGTTGATAAAGAAAATTAGATGACACTCAAAAGATATTTGTATCTTTTTCAAGTGCCACTTAATAGCTAGTTAACACTGCATTGACATGTTTCGAAAGTTTGGATACTAAATTATCGCATTTTAAGGTTTGAGAACAAATACTGGGCCCTCAATACAGGGTACTAATCTGAAATCTTCCCCCTTCCCCCTTTTTTTTTGTCTTCAAAGGCAAAATACAGGGTACTCTGCCTATAACGCATGTAATTAACTTTATGATGTTTAGCTGTGGAGAGATGAATTGCAGACGCTGCATCTGAAGCAAAAACATAACTTAATAAATTAGTACTGAAAAAACTTGAAATCAATCAAGTGGTATTCATCAAATTCATGAGGTGTTTTGATTGATCAAACCTCTTCCATACCATGTCTTTCCCGTATTATAGATTTTCCCTTTTATAAACATAACACCTTTTCAATTTATATAAATATATTAAGTTTCTAAAATTTGGAAAATAAAGAGTGTTTAAAATCTTAATAGGACAAAAATATTGGAAAATGCGTCCGAAAACATGGCACAAAAGAGAAATAAGGCATGGATTTAGTGGAGGAGAACAAAAGAGAAAAAAAGCATAAATAAGATAATTTAATTACAGCAGTGATGGGAGAAAAAAAATCTCTTCACCTCATTGTTTCGTTGTCCATGGCTCAAATTTATGGTTGATGATAAGATGATAACATGGCACAAAAAGAAATTCTGTCTGCAAGTTTCAGATATAATACAAACTCAAACCTGTTTCCATCATTCTTTGTCGTAGACCTTTTTCTTTATCATTATCATCCTTGCCCTTATCGGGTAACTAGAAAGGATGATGAGGTGTGAAAAGGAAATAGAAAAGTTAGGATTAGGGTTTTAATCATGGTTTTTAAAAACGAATCGGTGATCGAATCGATCAGGAGTCCGGTTATCGGTTCGAACGGTCTGATCATTCGACCTGAATGATCGGTCTGTTCTGACAAAAAAAATAAAAATTTTAAAAAATTGGAAAACGGTCAAAACCGTTCAAACAATTCCAATGGTTAATTGGCCGGTTCAGCGGTTTGCTGACCAAAATCAACAATTTTAGAGAAAAAAACGGTTTTGGAAGAAAAAGAAACCAGTGAAATGACAGTTCCCGGTTTTCTTGTCCAACCGTCCGGTCCAATCCGATTTTGAAAATAGAGGTTTTAACTGTTGCAAAATTATAGTAATTGACGTCTTCCACTTACGTTACATGTCCACATGAGTTGTCGATAGTCGGTAGATATCCTATTTGTAGTAGCAACTAATAAGCTGTGTGTAGTGGATGTGGAGTGTGGACTCATTACGATTTTGACCCATGGGCTGAGGCAGTCCGTGGTAGGTCCATGCATTGCCGGGTCAGTCATATAACTCATTACAATTGTTCATGACATCACATTGACAATTTGACATCCTATAAAATCGGGTCGGTACGTGATGATAACTCCATACTAAGCTTCTAAGCCTTGGCATCTGGAGTCCAGGCTCGTATGAAACTGTGCACGCCAAACAGTGCTTCAACCTCAACCTAACTTGACTACTCACTGCACAGCACAAACGATTTGCGAAAAATAGGAATAAATCCTTAAGTAGTTAAGCCGGGAGCATCAGTACCCCCATTGGTCATTGGCTCTTATTTATGAGTTCACATCTCCGCCCCACAACGCCTCACAGCCCATCCCCGCAGAGTATTGGGAATATCTTTCGATGATAACACATCGGTTTTGATATTATCATTGGAAGATGTTCTCAATACACGGCAGAGATGGGCTGTAGGGCGGAGATGTGTACTCCTTATTTATTGGCCCACTAGTCACTGCTATAAGGTCAACCAACACTAGGCCCAGTTAGAAGAATGAAATATCGGCTCGAGTAGGGAGGGGTACGGATACTGATGGGCCTGTATAGTTAGTTTTGGTCCACTGGACGTTTTTTTTTTTTTTTAAGCTCATACTGGAGTGGGACCAAAAAGAAAATAACAAAGAAAGACAGAGAGACAGAGTGGGAGACCATAACAAATAAAATAAAAATCCAAAAAGCGATGTCCATCGCCCCCTCAATTGGGTTTCTCAAGCCGCGACTAAAGGTGATCAGTGTTAGGACGGATACGTCCCAGCCACTCATGCTTCATGCCCACCTCTCCTCTCAGCTTTTTTCCCCTCGGAAAGAAAGTAACCTTTCCTATAAGTTTTATGGGACGTTTCTTGAGGACAAATAGATGCAAACAATTCCTGTCATGTGCAATTCTAACTAAATACGGGGAACAACGGATGTTCTTTGCCCTTGGTCAAGCGGGTAGGTTCACCTTCAAGTTTTCAATCTAATAATGCCTTAATTAATCCAGTTGCAACTCTGTGGAGATGGCCGAGTTGGTCTAAGGCGCCAGATTAAGGTTCTGGTCCGAAAGGGCGTGGGTTCAAATCCCACTCTCCACAATCTTTATTTCAGATTTTAATATTTTTACATATACAAGTCTACCGTATGGTTTGGAGTGAACAGGGATCTTCCACCAACAAATGCTCCCAACATTATTCCAACAGGCCACTGCAACCGCAATCTACTGTATGGTCTGGAGTGAACAGGGATCTGCCACCAATAAATGCTCCCCACAGGCCACTGCAGCCGCAAATTAATTGTCGATCATGTGGAAATGTTTCCGATATATGGCTGTGATTGTTGGTCGGTAGAGTGTTGGCCTGTTGGGAGTGCTTGTTCTGAACTCGTTTGGAGTTTAGGGGTGAAGCCAAGAAAAAACATTTGCTATATACATAGTAAATAGAACCTTTTAGACGATATCTTCTAATCCTTTAGGCTTAGTTTGGAAATAGTACAAATACAAATATATAAAGTATAAAGCCTTGTACTTTATATTATTTTGCATACATTTTGTATTATTTTGCAAATCTCACCATAAGACTAAGATTCATCATAAAATTGAGATCCGCCATGTATGAAATGTGTGGTATGAGATCATACCGGTAGAGGGTTGAAACATGTTCTATTGGCAAATGACCCGAACTCCTTTTTCACAACATATCACTGGATGTCAAACTCCCTAGAATTCTTATTATCCAGAACTTACTTTCGCAGATAACAAGATGTCGAGTTTCCAAGGTGGGACTTCTTGGTATGTTTAAAACCCTTTGGATACCACAAATCTCTTGAAGCGCATTGAAACTTGTAATGTTGGGGGGATTGATCATTGATCATTGATCATTGATGTGATGAAACAATATGCCTAATAACTAACTAACTGTAGCCCCCCACCCCCCTCCCCCTCAAAAGCAAGCTAGCTAAGGATTTCAATATAATGGTATCTGTGCATGGACCCTACCATATATGAACTGTAAAGCCTAAACCTAGTTCCGGTTTTAGCCTTCCTAGATGCATTAGGTTAGGCCAAAGGGTGAAAACGAATAAAAAGTAAATTGACCAACCAAAATCCTAAAGATGTCTGTGTGGGCAAGGGGGATGGGTTAAATCTCAAAACATATGCTGATATGCCCATTTACAAATTACAACCGGACCGGGTTATTTGCTATCTTTTTGAAAATCCCAATAAATGGTCGATCTATACAAAGATTTAAATTATTTAATTGACATCTGATCGAATTAAAAAATATATATATATAGAAGTTGAAAACTCTTGGAAATCATGTACCAGTGGATAGCTCATGTTATTTCTTCGACACAGCAACACTAATCAGTGGCATTTTGTATGGGGGCAGTAACAGGACATTTTTAGTAGGCCATACTAAAAAATCAGAAGTCCTATCTCATATCTAATTTATCCATCCGATCCAATTTTAACTATATTATAATATTTATTGTTTTTATTATATAAATTTTGTAAAAAGTAATTAGATTTTTATTTTTTTCTAATATTAAAATTAAATTAAATTAAATCTGTTAAAATTCAAATTCGAATCCAAAGTTTTCAAATCTGATTCAGATGTAGATTTTCAGTAATCGGATCAAATGCTGATTTACTAATCCAATAAGAGTCCGATCCAAATGCAACCCTAATTTTTAGGGAAAGAAAGTAGAAAGCAAACATTTTGTAAGATGAAAGCCTGCCCGTCGCACGTGTCCATTTGCCCGTGGTGAGAGGTTAGGAGGAAAAGAAAGTGGAAAGAGCCTAGCCTTTTTAAAACGGGAGCCGACAGCCTAGGCCTACCATAAAGTGTATCCCTCCATGAAATGAAAAAGGCTCTCGAACCCAAATTACTCGACGCACGTGCGAACGTAATAATTACCCACACCCACACGGCCACACCCACTCCTGGCACACATTCTCATCTCAGTAATAGATTAAAGAAAAAAACAAAAGGAACAACAACTGGGTTGTTACTGGGTAGGACAAGGAAGAAAAAAAAAGCTATTTATTTAATGCCAAATATAAGAATAACGCGATCCGTTCTCTAATTCTTGGTTCTACTCAAAACGGAACTCTTCATTCAATCATTGAACAACTCTAATCGTAAATGCCCCTTGGTTTCAGCAACTTTTACTTACCAAGACAACGGTAATAAAACAAGACGAAAGGGCATCCTCGTCACTTTGTTGGACTTGAGGTGATTAGATTAGCTCAAGTCATGTTGCATGGTATGCATGTGCATTTTGGTAATTAAATCATCGAGCAACTTGTATATAGAGAGTTAGAGACATCATTTCCGCCAACTTGCAACCTCATCAGGCTCGGCTCTCTTTTCTTCTTCTTCTTCATCATCATCACCTTCTTTGTTCTACAAACTACAATGGAGGGAGATGATCACAAAGAATTACAACTACTCTCTGCTGCATCCTCCTCAGCACGTATTTCAGCATGGATGTCGGATTCTTCCAATCCGAGGTCGAGACTGACGGTCTCTGATCCTTTTGACGGGCCATCACTTGACCTGCAATTGTCAATCAGCGTCCGACCATTTCCGCCACAATCAGATTATCTCCTCGGTGGAGCCCTTCACGAAAGTGATGCAAATACTGACATAAGCTGTGTTCAGGCTTTGAAATATCAGGCTGCAGAGCAAATTCGATTAGCTGCCATGGAGAAGGCGTATGCAGAGCGAGTGAGGGAGCTGACGAGGCGGGAGATGGAGTTGGCACAGTCGGAATTTGCGCGGGCAAGGACCTTGTGGGAGAGGGCACGGGAGGAGGTGGAAAAGGCTGAGAGGATGAAGGATAGGGCAACCCGCCAGATAGATTCTACGTGCATGGAGATCACTTGCCAGGCTTGCCGCCAGCGATTCCGACCCTAGTGTGAACAGTGGATGGTGGACTTTCTGGCTTGCTCTTGGCTCAAAAGAAGGGCAAGACCTGTGCACTTTTCATCCCGCTGAAGACAGTCTTTCACTATCGTCCCCCCCACTCACCTGTATTGCAGTTGCAAACTGGTTTGAGCCAGTTTTTTTTTTTTTTTTTCCGGGGTCCCTCCAAGGCTCCAAGCCAAGCCAAGAAAGTAGCCTAAGACCAGTAAGACGCTAAAATAAATACGCAAAACAGAGAGAGAGAGAGAGAGAGAGAGAGCAAATAAAATGGCAATATCATTTCACAATTCCATTCCCAACATGACCTGTTATAAGCCTATAATGAATAAAAAAGATTGTAGACTTTTCTTTTAGATGGAAACAAAGCCTTGCTCAAATGGAAAGATAGATTTTCAAAATTTGGGTAAGGAAGAATAGCACTCAAAACACTTGTCTGATATTTATGTTGATTCTTGAAGTTCTGATGTATTCCAGGAAGCAAACATCATCTTGCCGTGAAAACTGCGCTGCAAGATGGGTAATTTCGGCATTTTCGTTGTCTGTGAATATCCGCGGTACCCCTGAAAAACAAGAATATAAGAAATTCATTCAGCCATGCCATGGAGAATAGGCGCAGTGAGAAAACAATAATCCAAACCCATACAAAGCTGGAACCACGAGGGAATAATGGCAGCATCTAGAAAATTAGGCATACATATGGTACATGTGTCAAGGGTGCATGCTTATAATCACAACTTTTTTTGCTTCTAGTTGCTTTAGTTGCTTACTGGTATCAAATAGCATTGAGGCCAAGGAATGACCACCCCATAATGAAGGAGTAATGTACCAAAAAAGGAAAAAAATCAGGTAGAAAAGGCACGCATCCAAGATGTTATTTCTCATCACATTGATGGTACTTGCTATCTAGGATTGAATTCCGACCTTTCTTTATCTATAATTTCCCTATTAATTATAAACACAACATAACAACTGTTGACCTTGTCCACAATGATCATAACCAAAAGAAAATTTAAAAATTTTATTGGAAGCTCTGGATTATTTGGGAACACCAGATGTGCCAACATCGACTAGCTATCTTATTATGTTTTGAATCGATACAGAAGCCTGGGCATCTACAATGTCTCCAACTCTTATTTTATAAAACACCGTTGAAACTCAGGTTCAGTTACTTAAGTACTTGACGAGCAGATCTAACATGGTTAGATTCCTATTTGGAACCTTGATGTGGATAGAACAGGCAAATGAGCCAGAACAAATACAACCAATTTGTCAATATCGAGATGCTGTAGCTGCATGCAATTGTTTTTAACCTCTTAACGTTTGCTCGTCAGAAACCAAATACCCACTACACATGTCCTGGGTTTGACAGAAAAGTTCTCATAGGCTAGGGTGTCTCCACCAAAACCATTGGCCTTAGCAGTGAGCGGTGTTTCTTCTAGATGCTGTTAGAATGGGTTACCATAATTTGTCAGCATCTCCTAACCATTGGTGAGACGGTGATTACCCCAAACAATGACTTTAATAATGCACCGATTAGACTATTTGATAGGATAAAGACATTAAACAACCCAATGGTGAAAAAGGTCCTTAACTTTCCAAGTACGTCATTCTAATGAAACATGTTTCGAGCAATAAGTTAAGAATATGCTAATCCCAAGACCATCAATTATTATTTATCCACCAGATCTTTTGCCATGAATTTCCAATTTCAGCCCAAGGAGCTTAAACCCAGTTCAGAAACCCAGTTCTGCTTCCACTCCAATTCCAAAATCACCTTTTGTTATTACCATCAACTACTGCTATCATTTGTTTTTTACTCTAACTACACAGCAAACAAAAAGAACTTCAAATTCCCTTAGACATAAGCAAACATTCCAAAATTTTCTGTATCATCTACAAAAATATATACCTATCTTTATGAAACTTAGCATCCCCTTCCACACACATCTATTTGGATTTTATAATTGAATTATTCAATCTCAATATTCTAACAACAGCTGATTGCCAAATATTGGGCTCAGAATGTGGTAAAGTGCAGGATGGTTTTAGCCTTTTCGGTAAGGAAGAAGGGGATCCAGTTATGTGCATGGCAGCTAGTTGTTGTCTTCTTAGTTGCTCACTTACAGTTGTAACTGTTACAGTAATACACATACACCAAAAAAACCCAAAAAAAAAAAAAATCATCATCATCTAAGCCTTATTATCAACTATATGGGGCTGGCTACATGAATCCTGTTTCACCATTCTGTTCTATTCAATGCCATGCACCAAAAATTAAAACTAGAAGGAAAAAGAAAAGAAAAACTCATTGAAGGAAGAACTCAAATAGGTTTTTTGATTGATGTTTTATGTCGGTTTCTACTAACCTACTCAAACTTGTAACTTACTGGCTCTAGACCAACAGTAATTTTTAAACCATAAAGAATGATCAGATTCACCGCTGTATATGACCATCTCCATTTTAGATTCCTTGCTTGTCATCTTTGATCTCAACAATTCAGAACTATATCAAGGACAATCAATTCTTCCAAAAAGTCTGGTGGATAAACATACAAGACATTGTTGTCTGATGCTTTTTAACACTTGTATTATGAAAAAACCTTAAATTCATCTTTCAAATACATACGTTTGGGTTCTAATGGGGCTATTTCAACGGCTCTGGTGGACTTTCGAGACTTTGGAGAAGGAAGAAGTGATGATTTGGGGGTGAGTTCGAAAAAGGAAGAGGGGAGCAGGGCCCACTCGGTGTTAGATGCTGGTGAAGATGGAAAGTCTCAATTTCTGCGTCTTCAAGGGGCATTTGCGTCGGCGAGGAAGTTTCCAGTGGGGCCCACTCTCCAAGGCCTTTACCAATTAGTGTGAGCAGGTCTCACGCCCCGCCCAAGGCAGGGGCTATTAAGAGGAGTATGAATTTCTTCAAACTCAATATCAATTGTAGGAAGCTGAATAGTCATGTGTTGAACTTTTCCCAAAAGCGAAGAATCATCAGATTGCACAAGGCATCGAGGCCGAAGGATGTCGAGAGACCCATTGCTGGGAGAACCTCTTCTAGCGTGTCCTGTAGTCATGGCTACAGCATAAGTGTTCCAAATAGCAACGATCAAAACAGGGGAGAATCGGTGATCTTAGATTCTGCGTGTTCAGTGGGGGACTACGATGTGTCTAGGAATTCTGGGATCAGTGTGGGCGACTTTGGTCGCAGTGGTCAAAGTAGCAGAGAGTCGGTTGAAGATTTCGAAGAGTTTCCTTTAAAGCAAAGCTCTGATGCAAGTGCCAAGACCCCTTCCTCGATTGGACTGGATGTTGCTAGGGTCAAGATGAAGATCTACGATGGAGGGGAGATTGGACTGATGGAGAAGGAATTAGTTTCCAATGGGTCTATTGTTGCTACCTGATGAGGGGTAATTTGGCTCGACCTCTCAACACCCAGACACGTGGAAGCGATCTGCTGACTAGATGACAACTCAGTGTTCCCTGCCACCTCAGCAAGCCAAATCAGCTCAGGTACCTCGGGCACCTCGGCCAAGACCGAGGTCCGAGCAGTTTGTGATGGCCCGATCTGCCGAGGTGACACGTAGCCAACTTTTAGAAGCTAGCCAGCTGTTCCGACCTCTCCGGGATCACATTGCACGTCTGCAAGCCTTATCCTTATCCTGCTCGGATCAGACAGACTCGATAAACCTTATCAGCAGCTCACACGAAGTCCACCTCCGAGTGCGAAACGGATTCCTAGTAGCACAGGCTGGGGATCTCGGAGGTGCTTCGTAAGACCTACGGCAACTCACCTATATAAGGGCATCAACCCCAATGTTACAAGGTACGCGCGATTATTTGCACACTAGCCTTCTAGCATACAAGCTTTCAGCTCGCATACCAGATTACTAACTTAAGCATTGGAGCACCCACACTGGGTAAGCCACCCCGGGTCCTCTGAGCGTTCTTCTCTTGCAGTTCGATCGGCCAACAAAGCAGACCGATGTCCGAGCTGCCCTCCAGCTAGGAGCATTCAGATCGTGCACCATCACTACCCATGCAGGAAATGATGTTGTTGTATGTGAAGGAAGCGAAACTGTTGGTGAGAAATTCTGTTCACAATCCCAGACCAAAGATGTCGGGGATGATCTTCGTGTATTCGAGGAGGTGGTGATAGGGAAATTAGGCATGGATTTGGGAAGGAGGGGAGAGGTTAAGGAAGAATTGAGTGAGACCGATGCTGTGAAATACAAAAAAAAAAAAAAAATGTTGAGGAGCCTCTGGAGTAATATTCTCTCATACTGTGCATGTAACCAAAATTTTTTCCCGTCTGAAGCTTGGTTTGGTTGGGTCTGAGCCTACAAAGAACTACTACAAAAGAGCATACAGAAGAAGGAACAGTAAAACATCTAAAAGTTCAAAGCAAGATCTGGATTTCGAGAACTCTCAGGATGCCTCTAACCCGGGCAAGCAGCTGGGAAATGGTCAGCTTGTTGGCACCCCTGAAAAAAGTTCCAATGCAGTCGGTAGAGAACTTGATATTAGCCTCAAAAAGGAGGTGGAAAAATCTGGATCTGCCTCATTCAAGGTAGCGGCTAGAAAGGATGTAGAAATTGGTAAAAGCTTGGGTTTGTTTTTTTGAGAGGTGAGGATTTCGCCTTTAAAGCATTTGAAGAGTTTGAGAGGAAGAACGAAGAGAGCTCGAGAAAAGGGTTAATTTTTTTTTTTATCAATACGAGAAAAGGGTTAATTGGAAGAGGGAAATGGGATGATGGCAACAACCAAAAGGAGGTTCTTGATGGAGAATATTAGATTATCTCTTCTGTGCGTGCTTTTTTTTTCTGGTTTTCAGTTTGTCCTTTTTTTCTTGGTCTAGGTATTGGTGTCGGAGGAGTTAGCCTTGCTGTGTTCTGGTGTCTTTGTCTGTTATTATTTGCTGTAAGAAGGGTCTAAGTCAGTTTTCTTCTCTCGGGTGATTTCTTATCACCTTCCTATGTTTTTCTTTTTTTTAATGAATTTTCTCTTTACCTTTCAAAAAAAAGTACATAGGATCAGTACATATGTTTTTTGATGCATCATGCATTTCTGTTCAAATTCCATAACACATTTTTTTCACTTGATATTCAACTTTTATTAAATGTATTTCTATAACTCATTTCATATTGTCAAGGTGGAAGAAAGTGTTTACTTATCAGGTCCATCCATGGCCATCTGTTGTCACCACAAAATATATTGACAGAATATAGACGTTGAGACCATTTCCCAAGACTGATAAGGTCCCAAGGAATAATCATTTCTTTATTTAACATGATTCTAATACATGTCAGGAATTGAGATTTTTAACCTAGGGTAAGTGCTAATTGTATTTTCCCTATCCTTATGTATATCACCACTAGAATCTAGAGCATCACAGTCAGAAGATAACAAGGAAAAAGTAATAAATCATTATGGATGTATAAAGGTCAATCTGTATTAATGAATAGGGGGTTAACCCAAGTTACATGGTGCCATTTATAGATGCATGTAATTGAGAATTGAGTACAAGAAATGCACAAAAAGATCAGGAGGGGTCATATACTGAATTACTGATTATTGATCCTATATCACAATTCACAAAGAGAGAGAGAGAGAGAGAGAGAGATTGGACTGTTATGATCATCTCATTAGATCAATTTTTAGCTTGGGCAGTTGCTAAAGGCATAGGCCTCACATGAAGCGTACATCTGATTTATATCAATGAGCATATAACACTTCATCATAGTTGTCAAGGCGTCACCTAGGCGACTAGGTGCCTTATATAATATCATTTATATTGCTGTATCTTATTAATATGGATGCTAATACATTTTATTATATGCTGCATACATCATTTATACTTTGTTTTAATGTTTTACTATTGAAATTTAAAAGATCAAAGGGTTTTGAGGTAAAACAGAAATTCCATCCTTGTTTTTTCTATCTTGAATATTTATCATATAAAGTTAATAACCTTCTTTAGCTGCTAGTTGATATGAAATTGATCTATTAAATAATTATAGTAGTATTACTTTTGAAAATAATGAAATTAATATATGTAAAAGATTTTTATCTTTTAGATGTGATAATTTGCCACATTTTTAGAGGAAATTTAATGTTCTTAATAAAGAGAATTCCTATTTTTTCAATTAATCTACATGCAAAATGGTATATAAAACTAGGGAACTAACCAAAAGTTAGTTTTTTATATTATAAAATTCTTATCGCCTAGGCGACTAGGCGCCCCAGTGTCGCCCAGAACCACCTAGATGCCTTGAAAATTATACACTTCATATTTGTGTCTCAGGGTGACAGGGCTATGTCTCACTCAACTCAAGATTCATGTCTAAAAAAACCTCTAAAAACAGAGCTATTGATCTTTAACCTTAATATTTTTGAATCACATAAGGTAAAAAGTTTGAGAGAGAACATATGAATAAATTGTTGCATTTTGAGGTATATTTATCATTGTAGCATGAGTGCTAAAGGGTTGAACTGACCATGGAAACATTCCCTTGCCTCTCCTGCCATAAGTACAATATCGCCACTGCGAACAAACATTGCTATTGGATCATCCTCTCTAGACTTTCCCCCCAGTAGAAAGATAGCCTTGCAGCCCAAACTGATTCATAGAAAGAAAACAGGAATATTTTTCTCCAACAAGAAAGTACTGTATGCAAAACAACATATAACAAGATACCTGATGCTTACTATAGGTTTACTCCAATCTGCTTCCATGTCATCGAGGTGACCCCCAAGCATATCACCTGCCAAGGGGGAACAGGGAAAGCTATAAAAAAGGAGGATTATCGCAACTAAAGGATAATACTTGCTACATACACCAGTTGATGGGCCTAGATGAGTTATATGTTCTTGTCATTCAATTTGATAGCCACACAATAGCAATTAAATGTACCATAAGGAGTCAAAAAATGTATTAGGCTGCAGACCTAAACCAAAGTAATTTACTATTGCAGCTTCAGGCCGGAATTCTTCCCCCATTAGCAAGGCAGGTGCAGACATTCTTTTAGCAAGTTCACAAAGTGCCTCTGGAATCTTGTTATGTGGGAGAGAAACATCATAGTTGCGCTGAATGGTGAACATATACCAGTTTAGGGGCCCAAAAAATCAGAAAATGTATGGATATCTAAATTATTCACACATATACATACATACATATAAAAGTGCAATATGTAGGATGGTCATGAATATATAAAAATGCAATGGCATCGTATTCCTTTATAGGGAAACAAAGCACTGATTGTAATCAATATTGACATGAAGAATCTTTCTGTTAAACCTCAGAGAATATGAAATTGCATTCCACCCAAATTTGAAACTACAGTGCATCTAATAAAGAAGCTGAATAACAGATTATCTTTTCTTTTTTTTTTTGATAGGAAACGGTTGCTTTCATTAAAGATACTTGAACACAAGTACAACTATCAACCACCCAATTATAGGGTGTTGACCCCATTGGAATACTTGAATAACAGATTATCTTGACTAATTAGTTTATAGTTTCCTGAATCAATTGTCTCTTTATTGCCTTTGACATATTTTAATTGCATCAAAGAAGGATGCAATTTCCATCCATCTATATGCTTGGGATTTATTAAAAACCAGCCAGAGACCTTGCCAACGGGCTCAGTTGGCACCCAGTTCAAATTAGAAATTATAAAGGAATTATGGCAAGTTGGCAACTGACCAACTACTGCTCATATAGAAAGTATAACCAACCACTAAAAGCTGTGCAAGCAGTTATTAATTTGCTTCTTAAATTGTATGACTATCTTAAAGAAGATAAACTACTAGAATTGCTTCTAACAGCATACATGCATTCAGCAGTATGTAATCTTCAGCATTTCTTAGTCATAAAATCATGGTCTAAAACTATCAATAAGTGTATGAGTATGAGAACATCATATTCATAATTTGTCAGAATTTACTACCTGAAATTTTTGCCATCACAAGTTATAGTTATGCACTTCAAATTTTGTAATTATCTACTGTTGAAGGAATTTAAAAGAAACAAATAATATTTAAATAGTTTATAACCCAAATAAGTAGGTTGGTTAGTGTGCTAGCTAAATCATGAAAATTAAATAAGGTGTCCCGTAGGCCCTCTCTTTAACTGGGAAGGACAGATGTTCTTCACCTAGGGGGGGGGTAGTTGCATAACTACCCCACTCCCTATTTAAGCTCCTTAAGGGGAAACTAGAGGGTCCTCTTTGGACAAAATTGTGTCTTAGAGCATACCACTCTTAGAGATTCTTTAAAAAAAAAAAAAAAAGAGAGAGAGAGAGAGAAGAAAAGAGAAGCTCTTCGGAGAAGACAGGGAAGAGAAAAAGAAGCCTCACTAATAATACAGGTAGGTAAAAAGAAAGTCCTCTCTATAAATACTTCCCATATGTATCTTCTGTTATGTATCCCAATGTTTTAAAAGCGCAAGGGCCAATTTGCGCATGAGTCGCAAGGCACAAGGCGAGGCACGCGCCTCTTTAAGCAAGGCGCAAAATTACGAAAAAAAAAAACTAAAAAATAAAGAGTTAGAAAATTCAAAAAAATTCCAAAAAAATGCAAAAAAAATAAAAAAGTATTAAACATAACGTTAATAAAAAATATAAACTTAAGTTTTAAAATAAATGTTTTAAAAAACCTATTGTCTAAAATTAAAATACATAAACATAGCATGTAAAGTGTATTCAAATGAAAATTTAAAAATAAAAGCAAACATATAAAGCATTTTCAAGCATGTAAAATCCAGTCTCTTTTTTTCCTTAATTGCATTGCTTTAAGTAACTAATGTGATGTAAAACACATCGCATTCTTGATTCTATGAGTTGCCTTTGTACAACGCCCCTCGAGGCAAGCCCAAACAAGTCTACGTTAGGGTCTGAAATTCTTATTTCTCACATAAAAAATAATGATTTTATAACTTTCATTGCCTCTTAAGAAGATTTTTTATTGCAATGAATGAATGAACAACATTAGCAAATAGAGATGTAATTAAGGGGAACAATCCATATGAATCCTTGAAAGGGCCTTACCCAAAAGAATAAAACTCAATCACTCAATTGAGTCAATTATGTTGCATGAGACCTTACTAAAATTTTCTCACCAACATCTACATAGAAACTCCAATTGTAGAAAAAATTGGCCACATGGAGCCAAGCAGCCAGCTTTTTTAGATTTCAAAACTTCTAGATAAATTCTTAGTTAAATATAAGGAGCAACACTCTGCTATTCACAATAAATTGACTGAAGATTATGAACTGCTGATAAAAAATATATATATATATATATATATATATAATATACACAAATGAGTGATGAAAGCAATAAAACTAATTGGCTTATGAATGTAGATAACACATTAAGAGATAAGTAAGCATGGGGATCTTTCATTTACTAAGCAAGATATATGTGCTCCATAACACAGTGTTGTCTAAACTATATTAGGACAGATTCTTTCATTTACTAAGCAAGATTTTTTTTGGTATGTTTTGCATAGGGGATCTTTGTTACCTACAATTGTTTAACGCCTTTAACATTGATAAAGTATATTCATAGTTATCAATTGAAAACAGAAAAATTATTAGGATGGGCGCATGGTTTGAGAGACAAATAACAATCTAATGCATTCTTTCAACTTATTATTATTGTACAAACCATCGAACATTGGACTTCACACCCTGCACCCACTCTACATGTCCTCATGTTCTGAGAGGTTGTAACTACCATCTATAATACTCAGCCTACTACCCTAATGCACTAATGGATAAGGTAGCATTGGATGTCCATGGTTCTTGATAAACAATAAAACTTATCTATCTATTCAGATGAAAATCTCAAAAAAAAGTAGAAGGGCATTGATCTTGCATGACCTTGGACCAGTCAAATTGCAGCCCAAGGGTGCTCCACCGTAGTTTCCGCAGTAGAACAGAAGCTGCAATTGACTTGCATGGTTGCCCTTTCGATATTGCAACAGTTTCCTCAGAAAATTGCCACTTACACCCATCTGCATCTTTTATGCCAGAATCAGGCCCACCACTCACATCTTTGACTGAATTCTTTACTTCTACCCAAACTTTCTTATTTTTTGCTGCTATAAATAAGTCAGGAATAGGTCCATACACTGCATTGTGGTTGGTTCTGTTGGGAGGCTGTGGAAAACTAGTTAAGCTTTCCTTGATCCAATATTGCTGCTCCTCAATACTCAATGATCCAGGAATAAAGTAGAATCCTGCAATGGAGAAATACGAGAAAATTTTCAATTTAGGCACTGGCTACAATAAAGCATGATCTTCTGCTGAAAAGAAAGAAACAGTGGGCCTGATTGGGATAGCTAAAAGCTTTGGTTGAGCTGCTTTGGAGAAGCCACTAAAATAAGCTACAACGGGAAGCCCTTTTTTTGGCCAAAGGACAGCAAAGTTAGGTTTTTCGATATGTCACCAAGCATTGCTTATATGTTGTCTGGGTGCAGCCCTCCTCACAAAGCCAAAAGCCGACATGGGAAAGCCCTCCTAAAATGGCACATTATACAGAGCAACCCAACCTACAAGTTGTGAACATGAATGGCAGATGGAGAGTGGTTAGAGCTCTTTAAGAAGACGTCCCAAAAACATTAACCAAATCTTTAGCCTGTTCATCAATTATTTCCTTTGTTTTCAGTTGCTATTTTGCATTGAGAAAATGGTAATCTGCCACATTTTATTTTCTACCTAATGGATTTGATTATGATGCCACGCCATCTATTGTTTCTTGTTCCTTTATCAATGTAATAGCTTGTTGCCATGACTTAGTTGGTATGATCTCAATTCCTATTGTGAAGATTGGTAACCCTAATAGATTAATTGTGAATTTGTGATGCCACACCATCTACAGCCTCTTGTTCCTTTATCAATGTAATAGCATGTGACTAAGACTTGGTTGGTGTGACCTACAGATCCCATCAATTCCTATTGTGAAGATTGATCAATCCTATGGCTTCATTTAGAAGGCCCTTGGGGGATGAACTGGACACAGACCTAACTTTTGGCATTTTTTGCACAGAGTACCCACTCTCAGACTTGAATCTGCATATCCACACTTTCCAGCCGAAGATTTTAATATTGAACCAATTAGTGTCCCCTTCAATGGCTCCATTTCAATGAGGTAATTTGTTTTAAGGACAGCATCATTGGGTGTTTGTTTACTTTAACATGCAGTGTGGCATTCAATTTCCTTGAGAAAACATGTTATTTGTTCCAAATCATCAAACTAAATGCTTTAAATATTAACCTTTACAATGCTAGTTAAACTGAGTCATTATTTTGGTTGGTAAATGAGGTAAGTAAGCAGTGCCAGAAGGAAGATCTACAACCGAATGAAACAACACTTCATTGTTGTCTACTATTGAGTACTTGGCTACCACAGCAATTCATCTTTTCCTTCCCATGCCAAAATACAGAATGAATTAATTGAAATTACTTTGAGGGTGGGCCCTGGCGCAACTGTTGGGTTGCTCCATTGCGACCTAGATGACCAGGGTTCAAATCTTGGAAACAGCCTTCTCTGTATGTACAGGGTAAGGCTGCGTACATCTGTGATCTGCCCCTCCCCAGACCCCGCATTGGCGGGAGCCTCGTGCACTGGGCTGCCCTTAACTAACAACTTACTTTCACCCAGATCAAACAATTCCAGTATTTGGTGTCTGGAAGACGTGCAATTGTTTCATGAGTTGGTCCAGCTAAATTCGAAAGTTTTATTATAGGGTTTCCCTTAGTTTGAATAGAATTCAGTATCAGCAGCACCAATATAAAACAACCGCTGAAACAGAGCATTGGGGTTTAATGTCCTATCAATAATTAGTAGAAATGAAGCCCTAAAGAACCAGAAGAGAAGGCTCAAAACGAGTACGAAGAATCAACTACAAAAACAAAATTCGCATACCGGGGCGATTTTCGATGCCGAAAACGGGAAGATTGGAGTCGCAACGAAGTTTGAATATCCCGGGTGGTGTTTCGCCGTTTTGGTTGAAGGATTCGAGTACAGACTTGAAGTCGACCACCTCCGATAACTCTACCTTTTTGGGTTGTCTTTGCCTGGAAAAAAAAAATTGTGAAATTGAAGGAAATGGGAGGGGGAGGGGGGGAAGAGGAAGTAACCAGTGTAAGAGAATACGAAGGACGTTTGGTTCTTAACATGTACCCTTTAGACGACTTCTTGTTAGTGTGGTTGTAATACAGCTTGTATTTCTTCTCTGCTCTTCTGAAAGCAGTTCGTTCGGAATCGTCGGGAGCTCTGTCGGATTCGTACATTTTGACCGTCATGCTGTTCAAGACTTGCTACTTCATCTTAACAAGTTCACATTACACTCCATTTAACTCCGCCGCCAACCCCCGCCCCCGAAACTTTCATCTGTGAATTGCGACCAAAATCGTATGAACTTTCAGATTATGACAAAGATCCCCTTTTCACTAAAGTGAGTGACGAAAATTATAATACCCACTCAAAAATTTCTATGAAATGAAAAATATAATAAAAAAAATTATCACAACTTAAAAATATAATAAAAAATAAATAATTTATCACAACTTAAAATTGCAACAAACATAACATGCAATTAATATCAACCAAACCGATAATAAATAAAAATAGAAAATGATAAAACATCATTATGAAAAAAAGTAATTTTAGTATTTTAAAAAGTTTAAACAGTCACATGAATATCTTTTACAAAGTTAGGGCCTTGTTAAAATCTGAAAGTTTAGGGTATTTATCACAAATGAAAGTTTAGGGTAATTGCCACCACCCCAAAGGATAAATCTGTAATATGAGCCGTGGTGGGAGAAAACTTTGGCTACTTCAAAAAAATCAGCTTACTTTTTTTTAACTTGGGTTGTTTTAAATCTTCATGTGCATGAGCTTGGGTAGGGTTATCAATGGGTCGGGTCCAACCCGATGGACCTGGACCAGTTTTGGTTCTAGAAATTGTTTTGATGATGGATCAGTTGTAGTTCCTAACAAATTGTCCATGATGATGCACAATCCGGCYGATCTTAGCTGTCAACGATCTTGCCTCTGAACTGAGTGGCAAGGACCTGAAACGGAGGGAGAAGAGAAGCTTCGGGGAGAACCTAGCGTAAGGGCTCCGAAGCTTAAGTTAGAATCTTTCAAAGGCAAGATAGACCAAATAGCGCAAAAGTTAGCATACCTCGTTTTTGTGGGGTAGGAGCCTTTTATAACCACCTCGCGCACTCACTTCCAGGCCTCTGTCAGATCGGGCATGATTATTTCTGAGCTCCCGCCAGTTCGGATGTCATTTCCTCTGGCCGGACAGAACCGCCACTGCTCCTTTTGTTGGAGCCGTCTCTGCGGCTAGTAACAACGGTGCAGGTGGCGATAGCAGGAGGCCGTTTGAAGTGCGGCTGTCAGGCGTCAGATCCCAAATCAGTCAGGTGCGCCGCCCTTGGATACGGACGTCCTTGGTGTCAGGTACGTTTGGTCAACCTGGTGTTTCGGAAGCGAAGTGCTGGAGTGGCGAGCGAGATGTCTTGAGCTCGGTTTGGGGAGTGTTTCGAACTGCCATGGGTCAGCTCGGGTCACAGCTTTGCGAGGCTTGGGGCCCGAGGTAGTTCGTGCTCCTTGCAGGGAGCTCAGGTTCTCAGTAGGGAGCTCAGGTTCTTAATAGGGAGCTCGAACTCTTAATAGGGAACTCGGACTCCCAGTAGGGAGCTCGGGCTCCTAGTAGAGCGGTCTGGTGGAGTTCGGGCTCGGTAGTGAGCTTGGACTTCGTTACTTTCGGTGCTCGTTTTGGGCGCTCCGCTATCCCGAGTTGTTTGCTTTTGCCACGTGTCGGGTGATTGCAAGATCGGGCCAAATTTCCCTTCATCAGTCCCAATTATTGTCAGTTAGAAACTGGGTCCACCATGTCTGAAACCGACTTTATATATATATATTATGTAGTTAATAGATTAATTATATAGTTAATAAATTATATATTATGTAATATTTAAACAACATATGTTCAAAACGATCAATTGGACAGGGTTTCATTCTGCACCTCACATCTGATGCCTCACACGTACATCGTATCGTACATTGAAAACATCTCCCGTGAATATTAGTTATTATTTGTTAGGAGCAGATTCCGTCTCATTGAAGTGAGCCTTTTTTGTTTTCTCCATTTTGAAAGGCAAAAACGAAGTTGGAACTCTGTAAGTATAGAAAATAGGAAAAGGGGTTACAGATGGGACAACTCGATCTTCTCTCTAGTTGTCCGTCCATTTCTCCTCTCTCGCCGTTGGTATATTCTCTCTTGTTGGTCCCTTCTCTCTCGCTGCCAATCTCCTCTCTCATCAATCTCTTCTCTCTCCGTCATCAGTCTCTCTCTCATTTTTTAGTTTTTGTCAATTGATTTTCTTCTTATTTTTAATAGTTGATCTCCACTGTTGAACTTCGCTATTGGGGTTAAATCATTAAGGGTTTCATTTAAAATTAATCTGTATTGTTGAACTCGGCTATTGAGACTAAGCCATTAAGGGTTTTTCATTTTAAATTGATCTCCACTGTTGTACTCGGTCGTTGGGAGTTTGAAATTGGTCTCCACTGTTGAACTCAATTGTTGTTTTTTTGTATACAGGTTTATTATAATTGGGTCCATCAGGCTGAACCCAATTGTCCCAATAATCAATTGGTTTGATTCTGGTTCCAAAATTGTAAATCCTATAGGGTTTGGTTTGATTGCGGGTCCATGATATTTCAAAATTACAAACCCTTACGCATTGACAATCCTAAGCTTGACTTGTTTTAAAGCTTCATGTGCATGACACATTACCATGAGTGCAGGGCAAAAGAGTAACTGCAATTAAAATTTTAATTAAAAACAAAGGATTGGACTGGATAATGGGTCATGTGACTCATGTGTATAAAGACCTAGGATTTTTTTTTTAGAGATGGCCAAAGCTTTTCATAGTCATTAGCTAACTATGTATAGCTGAGTGAGCATGTGCAATCATAATTGGTAAATACATGTATGAATCAATTGGATTTCCTCCTCACACCCACTTCATTGCATGTTGCAACCTTACATTGGGAACATCTCCTATATTTAGGAAATCCAGATTTGTATGAATCCAACTATGACGCACATTACAGCATGTTATATTAAAATTTCAACCAATCACATTAAAAGCATGACATGGTGTATTTACTTTTCATTGATTTATGTTTCATAAGCTGTAATTTTCATGGTTTTCAAAACTGGACTGGATCAGACGGTCAGACCGAAAAAGGTGGTAACCGGTCAGCCACCCAAGTCTGGTTTTATTAAAAATTGGAATTTGTTAAAAAACCTTGAAAAATTCAGAAAACCGCTGACCCGGGCAGCAGTTCTCAGGTTAATATTTTTATTTTAATGTTTTAAATAAAAAACAAAAAATAAAATATCTATTATATCCCAACTAGTTCGAATCTATTATTCGGTTTTCCCTTTAGCTTTAGGGTTATTTCCCGAGTTCCCTCCTCACTCCTTAGTCCTCTCAACCCTCACACCCTACCACTTGCGGCGGCCATCACCTCCGGCATCGCAGCACACACCAAAAAGAGTCACCCTCACCCCAGCACTTGCAACAACGTTTGACAACGTAAAGATTCACCAGACACCAACACTTGCAGCGGCAACTTGCAACGGCACTCGACACTCAACATTGGGCGTTGGCGAGCAAGCCCATTGTCAAACTTCTTGGAGCAGCACTTGTAGGCTTGCAGCAGCAACTTGCCTACAACCAAGCCCGACTGTCCGAGCCCACCAGCGGCGAATCCCTGAAGGTATAACTTTTTTGTGATTTAATTGATTTTTTGAATTTTTTCATTCATTTGGTTCATCAGCCCCTGTTTGTTCTTCATTTGGTTCATCAATTTGCTTTGGATCTACTAGGCAAAGGCTTTTAGTGAATGCTTTATAATTATGAGCAACATACCATAAGTTGATAGATTACAAGCAGAATATGTTTGAATAAAAATGATGCATTTTTGACTTGGTGACTCCATAGTCGCTTAATTTCAAACATCTTTTTTGCATATATGTAAATTGTAGGGAAGTCTTATCCACCCATCTCTAGATGTTCATGTTGAAAGTTAGGAGTTCATCCGATTCTATAACCATTATTGACTGAGCATTTTAGAATGGAAAGAATGGAATTTTTCAAACCGCCCAACCATGCCAAACCTATCTCTTTGGTTTCTGATTGGAAATTCAGAACTACAGATCTTTTGGAACTACAGATTATTAGACTACCCCAAGGCAAGATGGAGCAAGTTGCCTTGCATCAGGGCCTTGGGTTTTTGGTTATTAGACTATAGATCTTTTGGCATGGATGCTTCAGGTAGACCAAAAGGGTCTAAGTACTACAGTTGGAATTTTTTCTATATTTTTTTAAATTTTCTGTATTTTATTATTTTTTTTATATTTTTATTTTTTCATATGTTGTTCTTTTTCCTGTATTTTTCTGTGTATTTTTTGTATTTTATTTAACTTTCTATGGTGTTTTTTATTATATATAAGTATTTTTTTGTTTTTTATTTATTTATGAAGTCATGGGTGTTCGACCTGGACGGTTGAACCGCCGAACCAGAAAACGGTGCCCTAACCGGTTCGGCCACCGGTTTGGTTTTAAAAATCATGGTAATTTCACATTTCACATGGTGTATTTATCATCAAAAACTTTAAAAATGTCACTATAATGTATTATTTTACACTAGTTCATTCACCTTATACTTCATACGTACATTAAAGTTTGCCCAATATGATTTCCTATTTAATATCTTCATAGTTTAAAAATTTAGAGTGAATTTTTGTTATATTTTATATCTAAATACGTGCATGATAATATTATATATATTTTGAAATTTTGAATATGTATATCATATCATATATAAAATTAGGCTTTTCTACAAGTTATGCTTTTTTTGTATTGGTGTGGGGTGCCAAACACCATTAATAACCCCCCTTTCTCCTAATTGGTGGTTGTGGGAATCAATTTCATGTTAATATCGGTATGGCGCAGCTAGGAATTTTCTTTTTTTTTTTCAGGGGGAGGGGGGAGTTAAACAAGAAAATGAGATAGGGATATAAGTAGGGTTTAAGGAAAAATGGCTAAGAAGTAGGGTCTATTACAGATTTTTTTAAAGTATTGGGGGAGGACCCCTATCAATATACTTGGCTCCACCCGTAAATACTGGAATGAACCAGCTGATATACAACGAGCCACCCCTATACTGGTGAGTTATGTTATTACATGCTTTAGTTGAACATCACGTAAGGTGCACGAGGCTCATTGACGCTTGGTCCTTTGATATGGATTATTGAGTTGCTTACCCACTAGTTGAAAATTGAAATGTTTGTATGGTACCTTCCCATTTTACGAGGCACACGATCAAACATGTAGTAGAACCACATGTTCTATAGGTGGGTTTTAGGAA